AATAAATTAATCATTGGAAAATTTAAAATGATTCACATGTACCATAAAGATAAGTTTAGCAAATATATATAAAAATNAATGTTAAATAAATTAATCATTGGAAAATTTAAAATTATTCACATATACCATAAAGATAAGTTTAGCAAATATATATAAAAATTTTGAGTGCGTTTAGGTATTTTTTAAATAACACGAAAGATGGTAAATAGTATATAAAGTATTTAACTAGAAAATACAGCTTTTTCATAGTGGTTAGCCCACATATTTCGAAAAAAAATTGAACTTTTGTTTTAATGCATAGATGCATCATACACCGCCATAGTACGAATATTAAATAGGTTTGAGACCTTAAATGTTTTCGTTTCTCCAGAAAATATGATTTTTGTTGGGGTTAATCCACATATTAAGTGGTGTATGAATGTTAAATATACTAATTATTGGAAAATTTGAAATGATTCACATGTACCATAAAGATAAGTTTAGCAAACATATATAAATATTTGGAGTGGGTTTAGGTATTTTTTAAACAACACGAAAGATGGTAAATAGTATATATAGTATTTAACTATAAATTCAGGTTTTTCATTTAAGCCCACATATTTCAAGAAAAATTATCAAAAATGGAATTTTTGTTTTAATGGATAGCTACATCATACACCGCCATAGTATGAATATTAAATAGGTTTGAGAACTTAAATGTTTTCGTTTCTCCAGAAAATAGAAAATTCAGCTATTTCATAGTGGTTAGCCCACATATTTCAAAAAAAATATAAAAATAGAATTTTTGTTTTAATGCTTAGATGCATCATACACCGCCATAGTATGAATATTAAATAGGTTTGAGAACTTAAATGTTTTCGTTTCTACAGAAAATAGGATTTTTATTGGGGTTAATCCACATATTAAGTGGTATTTGAATTTTAAATAAACTAATTATTGGAAAATTTAAAATGATTCACACGTACCATAAATATAAGTTTAGCAAATATATATAAAAATTATGAGTGAATTTAGGTATTTTTTAAACAACACGAAAGATGGTAAATAGTATATAAAGTATTTAACTAGAAAATTCAGCTTTTTCATAGTGGTTAGCCCACATATTTCAAAAAATTTATAAAAAATAGAATTTTTGTTTTAATGCATAGATGCATCATACACCACCATAGTATGAATATTAAATAGGTTTGAGACCTTAAATGTTTTCGTTTCTCTAGAAAATTGGATTTTTATTGGGGTTAATCCACATATTAAGTGGTATTTGAATGTTAAATAAATTAATCATTGGAAAANAGCCCACATATTTCAAAAAATTTATAAAAAATAGAATTTTTGTTTTAATGCATAGATGCATCATACACCACCATAGTATGAATATTAAATAGGTTTGAGACCTTAAATGTTTTCGTTTCTCTAGAAAATTGGATTTTTATTGGGGTTAATCCACATATTAAGTGGTATTTGAATGTTAAATAAATTAATCATTGGAAAAATTAAAATGATTCACATGTACCATAAAGATAAGTTTAGCAAATATATATAAAAATTTTGAGTGCGTTTAGGTATTTTTTAAATAACACGAAAGATGGTAAATAGTATATAAAGTATTTAACTAGAAAATTCAGCTTTTTCATAGTGGTTAGCCCACATATTTCAAAAATTTTATAAAAAATTGAATTTTTGTTTTAATGCATAGATGCATCATACACCGCCATAGTACGAATATTAAATAGGTTTGAGACCTTAAATGTTTTCGTTTCTCCAGAAAATAGGATTTTTATTGGGGTTAATCCACATATTAAGTGGTGTATGAATGTTAAATATATTAATCATTGGAAAATTTGAAATGATTCACATGTACCATAAAGATAAGTTTAGCAAACATATAAAAATATTTGGAGTGGGTTTAGGTATTTTTTAAACAACACGAAAGATGATAAATAGTATATATAGTATTTAACTAGAAATTCAGGTTTTTCATAGGGGTTAGCCCACATATTGGGTTTAGTCCACTTATTAAGTGGGATATGAAGTTAAACTTAATTACTCGTTCAAAAGTTTGAAATGTTGCTCTTGTACCAGGTAAATAAATTTAAAATACATTAAATTAAATTTATTATCTCATTTTATATTTTTAATCAACAATCAAGAGCTTAAACTTCAATTTATAGCCATTATCGAAAATCTTGATCTTTTCGTAGGGTTGGCCCATAACTTTCAAGATAAATTAGAAAAAAAAAGTATTTTTGTTTTACTGCATAGAAGCATCATTCACTGACATAGTATGAAAATTAAAGAGTTTTGATACTTTAGGTGTTCATGTTTCTCCAAAAAGTAAATTTTTATTGGGGTTAGTTCACTTATTAAGTGGTATATGAAGTTAAATTAATTACTCGTTCAAAAGTTTGAAATGATGTTCTTGTACCAAATAAATTTCAAAATACATTAAATTAAATTTATAATCTGATTTTATATTTTTAATCAACAATCAAAAGCCTAAACTTCAATTTATAGCCATTATCGAAAAACTTGATCTTTTCGTAGGGATTATTAGCCCATAACTTTCAAGATAAATTAGAAAAAAATTATATTTTTGTTTCACTGCATAGAAGCATCATCTACTGACCTAGTATGAAGATTAAAGAGGTTTGAGACTTTAGGTGTTCATGTTTCTCCAAAAAATAATTTTTTATTGGGTTTATTCCACTTATTAAGTGGTATATGAAGTTAAAATTAATTACTTGTTCAAAAGTTTGAAACGATGCTCTTATACCATGTAAATAAATTTAAAATACATTAAATTAAATTTATAATCTGATTTGATATTTTAATCAACAATCAAGAGCCTAAACTTCAATTTATAGCCATTATCAAAAAATTTGATCTTTTCGTAGGGGTTAGCCCATAAATTTCAAGATAAATTAGAAAATTATTATATTTTTGTTTTACTGCATAGAAGCATCATTCCCTGACATAGTATGAAGATTAAAGAGGTTTGAGACTTTAGGTGTTCATGTTTCTCCAGAAAATAAATTTTTATTGGGTTTAGTCCACTTATTAAGTGGTATATGAAGTTAAAATTAATTACTCGTTCAAAAGTTTGAAATGATGCTCTTGTACAAGGTAAATAAATTTAAAATACATTAAATTAAATTTATAATCTGATTTGATATTTTTAATCAACAATCAAGAGCCTAAACTTCAATTTATAGCCATTATCGAAAATCTTTGATCTTTTCGTAGGGGTTAGCCCATAAATTTCAAGATAAATTAGAAAAAACTATATTTTTGTTTTACTGCATAGAAGCATCATTCACTGACATAGTATGAAGATTAAAGAGGTTTGAGACTTTAGGTGTTCCCGTTTCTCCAAAAAAAATAAACTTTTATTGGGGTTAGTTCACTTATTAAGTGGTATATGAAGTTAAAATTAATTACTCGTCAAAAGTTTGAAACGATGCTCTTGTACCATGTAAATAAATTTAAAATACATATATTAAATTTATAATCTGATTTGATATTTTTAATCAACAATCAAGAGCCTAAACTTCAATTCGTAGCCATTATCGATCTTGATCTTTTCGTAGGGGTTAGCCCATAAATTTGAAGATAAATTAGGAAAAAATTATATTTTTGTTTTACTGCATAGAAGCATCATGCACTGACGTAGTATGAAGATTAAAGAGGTTTGAGACCTTAAGTGTTCATGTTTCTCCAAAAAATAAATTTTTATTGGGTTTAGTCCACTTATTAAGTGGTATATGAAGTTAAAATTAATTACTCGTTCAAAAGTTTGAATGATGCTCTTGTACCAGGTTAATAAATTTAAAATACATAAAATTAAATTTATAATCTGATTTGATATTTTTAATCAACAATCAAGAGCCTAAACTTCAATTTATAGCCTTTATTGGAAAATTCGATCTATTCGTACGGGTTAACCCACATATTTCAAGATAAATAGAAAATATGATATTTTTTGTTTACAACACAGAAAATCATGCACTGGCATAGTATGAATATTAAAGAGGTTTGAGACCTTAGGTGTTCTCGTTAAAAGAGCCTAATCTTCATAATATGTCAGTGCATGATGCTTCTATGCAGTAAAACAAATATATGTTATTTTCTAAATTATTTTGAAATATGTGGGTTAACGCATATATTTCAAGATAAATTAGAAAAAAAATGATATTTTTCAATGAATGATGCATCATGCACTGACTTAGTATGAAAAATAAAGAGGTTTGATACCTTAGGTGTTTTCGTTTGTACAAAAAATGGAGGTTTTAATGGGGTTAGTACATTTATTAGGTGATATATGAAGTTTTAGTAAATTAATCTTTGGAAAATTAGAAATGATGACCATGTACCATGAAAATAATTTTAGCATACATATAGATAAATTTGGAGTGTGATTATGTATTTTGTAACAACATTAAAAAGGCTAAATAATATAAATAGTATTTATCGAAAAAATCAATCTTTTGTAGGGATTAACCCACATATTTCAATATAAATTAGGAAAAAAATATGGTATTTTTATTTTAATGCATAACTGCATCATGAACTGAGATAGTATGATGAATAAAGAGGTTTGAAACCTTATGTGTTTTCATTTCTCTAGAAAATAGAGATTTTATAGAGGTTAATACACTAATTAGATCATATATGAAGTTTAAAACAATTACTCGTTGAAAATTTAAAAATGATGCACATGTACCTTGGAAATATGTTTAGAATACAGTTATATACATTTAAGGTGAGCTTAGGTATTTTTTTTAAAAAAAAAGTATTAATGAGGCTAAACTTTAGTGGACATGATACGACCCGATGATCATATGATAAATATCTATTAACATATAGATAATTGCTTACCCACATCATTAATCTTATCAGATAATTGCGTACCCACATCATTAATCTTGTCACAAACTCATCATACATATATATATACTTCTTCTTGCACTTGAAGCTTCTGAGACTCTCCTTCCACCTTGGGGGAAAAAATCTGTCTCTAGTCTAATAATGGTAAGAGAGAGTTTATTAATCTCTGTAGTATTTACGAGTAATTAGTAAAGGGTAGAACATGCATCTTATTCTTACTCTTCCCTCCAACATGAGCACTGGCGGATCCAGTGGCGGAGGTTTTATGGTGAATGAACGGTGGCTTGCCGTGCGAAGTTTCTGGCGAAGGTCTAGAGTTATGTGTCTCTGGTCCCCTGTAATCGATCTCGTACACCTCCGAATCCGTGTTTTCCGATCCTTAGTTATGTGTTAAAGTACAATGAATGTTAATGATGACCTACTAGTAATTGTATAAAAACAAAGAACAAACATACCTATAGCGACGAAGCAATGCAGAGCAAGGAGAAGGTAAATGAAAAAAATCACGACGGTCGATTTCATTTTTAGTAGTATTGAATTGATAAACAGTTATGAACTTTTGTTTTGAGTGGTATTATTTGGAATACATGATAGCCTTATTTATAATAGCATGGACAGATAAAACACACGTGTCTTGTCTTCATTTACATTTAATTAGCCAATATTTTTTGTTACATTTATTCTGTTCAATACAGATTTATTATCGTAAGCTTAATAATCTATTTCGCTAAAAACCTTTTAAGATCAATATGCAAAATGGACTTTTAATCATATATTAACATTTTCTGCATGCTGATCTAACTTATGTGTATATCCTTCTTAATATTGAATTTTGGTATGTGACTAGTACTTTATACGCACGAGTTTTCTCAATTGATTCAAATGCTTGAACAGTATGCTCCTGTCCTGAATTCCGTGCCCGTATAAACAGGCAATACATTATGGACGGTTTAAAAGAGGGCGACGTTATTAATTATTTTCGCGACCATACATTATAAAGTACAATGTATAAATAAATAAATAAATAACTTATAAATACTTTTAATAGGGGAATAACATAAAACTAAAAATAAGAAATAAGAGAAGACAAGTTCATGTGTGAGGGACAATATTAGCTTTCTATCTCATGGCTTCCAAGCTGAACTCGTGTTCCAATCTATTCTTTCTTTTTGTAGGAACACATATTTAATGAACAATAGTACTACTAATCATTTGAGTGTTTTAAAAAGACTGTAACTGCACAAGGAAAAAATAGACCATTACATATTAATGAAAAAGGTTACCTGTAGAAAAGCTAGTTATATTTCTATATCAACAACAATTCAATAGTTTCCATCTAGTTCAGTATATATGCAATATACTTTTATTATTTATTGACGCCATGCACAGTTAACATGTAGTTTCTGTTATTATGGCGGTGATATAAAAATGTATATACATTATATTAATTGAAGAAATCGCTGGTATGAAGTTGATATACGTAATTGAGTTTAATGAAAAAAATTGATTGAGAAGATGTTAATGTTATATGCTTCATCTATCCCCACTTCTTACAACTGTACATCGATGTACTCTCTACCTTTCCATTTATTTTAAGTAGGTCGATGATGGATCGTGCACCCCAAATATATTAACTAGGAGCAATACTATTACATTCCTCACTCATTAATATCTTATATACATATATATCTATATATATATATATATATATATATATATGTGTGTGAAATGAAGTACCAAGGCCATGCAAATTATTCTTAAGTATAAAAAAGAAAGGCCAGAAGAATGATCGTAGAAATTGAAAATATATATGATTTACATTTATATTATATGTATTAGAAGTAGAACTCCATAATAAATGATTTTGTCTAAAGCCTTTGTGGTTTGTCTTCACAAACCATAAATTGCAATGGGTCCATACCCACCTCTACAGCTATTTCATGGCTGTGTTTTCTTAGGCGTCTCCTTTCACTTTCATATCTTCCCATCTTTTATTGTTTCATCTAATAACCCTTCATTGCATGTATGATGTATATATGTAATTTTTATAGAAACTTATGTACTTTTTACCCAAAATACTTATATACTGTTTACTTGCTGGGTAGTTGACCAAGAAAATGTATACTTGTTGGGTCTCAATTGGTCTCAGCATTTTATTGAGCCCTACAATACTAAGCCCATGTATAAGTTGGGCCAGAAGATAGTTCTCAGCTAAATGAAGCTTGATGTCAAGGTCGAATCATACTTAACAGATTTGTTGAATAGAGGAAGCTGCTATGTTTTGTTAGAAAATAAAAATATACACAATGGAGTATTTTTTTGTTTTCTTATTTCTTTATGTTTTTATTATTAGATATACAAAAACAAATTTGTAATAATAATATTTTGTTTGACTTTAGCAACTTGAAAAAGTCGTGCTTTGTTTAATTGCTGAAATAAAATAAAAATTGATAATTCAAAGTTTTATTTCATTTAATAGAAATATTATATTGGATTCTTTATTGATCTAAATTTGAAGGTGATCAATATTACACAACAACAAAAACAGTGAAGAATTTGGAGTTTCATCATATAGTCAATATCAAATATAAAAATCGCATCAAGATAGTTTCTTCATATTTTATTTTATTTCTCGAAATACTTTTGCTAATTTTATTTACATTTGGTTGTATGTTTGTTACATATATATTGATACATTTTCTATAAATAAAATTAGTTGTTAAAGAAAATAGAAATGAAAGATAATTTAAGTATTAAAAATAAAAGGATTTGTGTAAATGTTATATATGCCGGGAATCGTTACACCTTAAGCAATAGTATGAGTTGATACAATTGGTGTCCACTATACATAAACCAAAAGCTAAAAACAAGTTTATACTATACTAACACAGTCAAATTTAAATTAAAACGATCGATTAATCAAATTGTGTGACTAATCACGTGAAAGACCTAAACCCTGCCTAACCTTCTTCTTCATCCAGAAGCACACCATCTTCTCCCCTATCCTCGCCGGCGCCGATTTGCTCCTTGTCAACTCCGGCCGCCGTACAAAACCTAACTCCGTTAATTCCGCTTCTTTTCCGTCATTGTTGGCTTCAACAGACCTCGCCGACTCGTTAATTTTCTCCGGTTTAGTATTTTCCGATGTAACACTAAGTGATTCTGCTTCTCTTTGGTTATTCTCTTCCCAGAATCTGAAAGCTAACGAAGATGAGCTGAACGGCGCAGATCTGCTCCTCGTCAATAAAAATGCGTTTATCGGCGGCGTAGACGCAACTAATTTAGAGCTTTTAAAATTTTCTTCATTCATCTCTATAGTTTCTACAGCTGATTCCGTTGCCGGACGATCTAATTGGTTTATCGGAGAATCTTTCTCTTTATCACTCTTCGATTCCCGATGAGAACACGGAAACTTAAACAATCGCCATTTAGGCCAAAACGACGACGATTTGGTTTTCCCGGTTAAACCGTTACAAAACGACGCGTTTCGGATCCACTCGCATCGTCGTTTGGTCGGGTTGACGCGAGAACGGAGATGGATTTTCGGCTTCGATCGTTTGACTCGGACCTGACCCATGCAAGTGACTTTCGGTGAAGACGGTTCTTGAGTCACCGCCGCAACAGATTTATTCCGGCGAACGAAGAGAGGACTCGCGCGTGACCTTCCTTTACTTCGGCTTCGGCTTCGGTTTCTACTTATGCTTCCGGCGTTACTTTTACTTCTCAAGAACCCCATGAAAGGTGGTCGATATTTCTCGACCCGACCCGGACTCGAAACGGTTCTCCGGGAAATCATCATCGTCTTCTTCTTTACTCCGTCTCTCTCTCCTCTCTCCTCTTCTCCTCAGTCTCCACTAAGTTCTGCTTTCGTTTTGTCTGCACTCTGACAAATTTTTCCGTTTTTATTTTCACCACTTAAATATTTTTTTAAAAATAAAACATTTATTTTTCGTTGCCTGCAACGGGCAAATCGATTTTAGGCTCTCTGTGACTTATGAGATCACTTTATAGTTTGCTTCATTTGATTTACGGCTTAGTTTTTTTGATTAACTTCTTAATTTACTTTAAGATTCGTTCTTTTTAAAAGGTTTTGTGGTTCGGTTCATAACTAGTAGTTGAGATAAACAAGTACATTTGATAAACCCAACATCTTCTTAACTCTTAAGATTCCAACCAAGAAACTTACTCTTTTAATACTATAGTTTAACCATTCTTTTAATCCTTTTTTTTCTGAGTCTTTGACTACGTTGTATGTAATCTTTAGAAAATTAAAATATATATTTGTAGGTGTCGCTTGTTGAGTATGAAAAGAAAAACCTTTTTGCTTCTTAAAATATGTTAACTTACTTTCGACAAGAAATAACTCATTACGTCATTTATATAGAATCAGAAATAATAATTTCAAATGATTTATAACGTAATGTATTTCTCTTTTTTTGGTCATGAACGATGTTATCGATCATTAACATCATACAAACATCACTATGTTTATTAGTACAAATCAATGAAGATATATATGATGGATGAACATACGTAAGCTACCATTTTTTTTGTGTCCAACAGTTCTATTTAATTAAGCCCACAGGGCTAAAAGCAGAGATACAGCTTACGACCACGTAAGCTACCATCTCTAGATGTAAGTGTAACATTGATCTTGGAGTCTTAATCTTAAGAGAACTCTTTTTCAGAAAAATATGAAATCCATAATCTACTTGTGAGATCAACGCGGTTTAGATACTAGAGATAGTTGTCAAAACCGATGTCAAGATTGTTATTGTACAAAAAATTCTTTAGGAAAATGCATATTGATGAGAACAAAAAAAATGGTCCAGTTACGGGAAGATAGTAATTTATTGGCCAATGATAATAAGAGATCACTAGAAGTTGATGGTCTAAAAGCAGAACCCATGATAAATCTTTGAGGACATATCAAGTATGAATTTGACATTGCTTTTGATGTACATGATTTAAAGATGACTAAAACATAAAGTGAAATCTCCTTCGGACAAATGAAAGCAGCATTCAACTCTTGTCTACCACTATCGATTCCCTCACTACCGATGGAAAGTATCCACCCAAAAATAAATTTGTTGATCGCTCTGAAAGGACAAAAAAAAATATGGAAACATATTTATATGGATTTCTAGATTTTTTTTTTTTTGGCTTTTGTATTCGTTAATAGTCTAAACATTCAGTAAAAAAATGTGGCATTATTCGAGTTGAGGAGTACTAGAATGAACATTTTAATTTAGTACTAAACAAGATAACATACTGATTATAATAAATCACACTAAAGTGAAAGCATGGCATATAACCTAAAGCAAATCAACTCTCATAGATGTAACTATTCAAACATTACCTTCGATTTCGAATATAAATTTTTCACCACATGTGTGTGAGACCCTAGTGTCTATAGAAACATGATATAGAGAGATCCACTTTAGCCGGAAAAAGTTTTTGACTCTTGCGTGTAGTGACAATTGACAAAGAGAAGAAAACAGACCAAATACGACAATCACACGAGAAAGACACGAACCCAAACACAATTTCCTTTTTCAGTGTGAACTCAAGGAACTAATCATAGTTTGTTATCAGCTCTTCCCACAAATTGGAACGTTCTAAAATGCTTAGACATGCATGTGATACATAAAGAAGAAGAAACTGTTTAAAGTCGGCTTAACTCGACCCATGACCGAGAAAGCCCAAAAAAAAATTGATCAGAAGCACACAAAAATTATGAGGATCTGTGAAAAACAATGGTTCAAAATGATGTCGAGAGAATTCAAACCTAATAATCTTTAAGATGATAACAGCAGGTTTAAACCAACTGTCTTACAAGAAATGGTGAAAATAATTGGCCAAAATATTATATGTTTTCACAGGGGCAGAAACTTATGTTTCCATGGCTTATGTCAAGGGCCGCGTCTGACTAGACCATATTTTCTGACATTCTTGTTGAGATAAAATGTTGGAGCCATTGGAAACAGCTTCTGATCCGAATGGCTGTGACATGAAAGATAGGTGGTCGAGATCATATTGAACTCAGCAAAACAGATTCGAAGCTAAACTGCTAATATATATTATACACTTGGGACTAGTCTGAAACTAAACAGGAGTCGTTGAAAGTTTCGTTTTGGGTTTCATGGGCCAGTAAGGCTTAGGCAAGAAAAGAAATAATGTCGGCCGTACCAAACTCAGTGGCTTAAAACGCTAGCGGCCCAAAAAAAAGTGGACCGGGGGAGAGATAAAGTTTCATAAATAAGATGATTAGAATTTATAACATTAGGTAAAATGTCCATATCCCCAAATTAACTACCTATTTCTCTTACTATTATATATTATATGAGAAGCATATTATAAGATGTATATATAATGTAATGGAGGACAATCAAATCATGTGATTAGTTGAGATTATTAAATTCCAACGGCTAGTTCTCAATTTATTTATATCCATACATGAAAACAGCTTTTATTATAAGCAAAATGTTTGCTGTTCATGGAGGATGCACATGGAGATTTTAAAATGCATTTTCTTATTACGAGATTTGTAAGAAGTTAGGGAAGACTGGTACAAGCTGGCCACAGATAAGGAAACCTATTCGGCTTGACACCAAAAGTCAATGGTTTAGGCAAGTCATCCTCTATCCATTGGACAAAACTAATCACAATTTCAATCATCTTAGTTCATTGTATATCAATGTGGTATTCTCTGGATATGATGAACTATATAAAATCATTGTAAAGATATCTTTTCAGAAAGATATTAGTTCTTTGTTTATACATTTGTTTGACATTATTGATACGTTAATGAAGCTTAAATAAATCAAAATGATCATTATTTTATTGATACCATAAACTAATCAAATTACAACAACAAGTCTATAGAAAAAAAGTTAATAAAAATCAATGGGGAAAGAGTAAATAGTTACCAAGCTGTTAAAATAGAAAAATGAAAGTGGGCCCCACAAAAGCGGCCTAATATACACATACCGCACAAATACTCAAGACACGAGGAGCTTTGAATCCATCCATCTTTCTCTATCGCTTAACTTGGCAATGTGAAGCTGAGAAGATATAGATTCGCACCTCAGTAAAGATCCCAAACTTACCGTTTCGTCTTCTTTTTATTTTGTCCCGACAATAAGCTCACAGAGAAACGCGTTTGAAGTGGTTGGACTCTCAACTGTTGTTGTCTTTTTTTTTTTATCTGGAAGACTTTTGAAGCTCTCTCCTTCTTCTTGCAGATCTGGTGTTACACTCTCTACCACAGGTACAAACGCTTCTTGTTTGTTCGAGATCAGTTGTTGAGTTTAATTGAAGAACTTAAGCTCTCATACAATAAAGAGATCTGGCAATAATCGTGATATCTATCTCTCGTGGCTGTTTTGGTGAAATGTTGAATTAATTGCTTTAAGCTTGTCTTCTTACGCCTTTGCCCAGGGTTTAGAGATCACATAGAGAAACTGAACTGTTTGAAGAGATGGGGAAAAAAGCAAAATGGTTTTCTAGCGTTAAGAAAGCCTTCAGCCCTGATTCCAAGGTAATGAGTTTTATATATAAATGATGATTCATATATTCTCTTGTGTGTTGACATCTTTTGCTGTTTTTCAAGAAGTCAAAACACAAATCGCCCGAGACCCCCAATGGTGTGATCTCTAACGCGAGGGGAGTTTCCTGTCCCCATCCTCCTCTTCCTCCTCTTGAGGTGAGAGTAGCTGAAGTCATTGTTGAACGGAACAGAGAACTTTCCCCTCCTCCTTCGACAGATGCTACGACGTCGTCTGATATTCCTGTAGTAGTAGTCCCTTCTTCTTCTTCATCTGCTCCTCCTGAGGTGGTTCGTCGTCGTCCTACAGCTACTCGGTTTCTTGGGAAGTCAAACGAAGAAGCTGCTGCAATCCTGATTCAGACTGTCTTTAGAGGCTATTTGGTATATATGTTCTCCTTATACACTTTTAATATCTGCAGAATTACTTGCGTGTCCTTGGAACCAAGCTCTCTTTGACACTTTAACTTTGTGTAAATACAGGCGAGAAGAGCAATGCGGGCAATGAGGGGTTTGGTCAGGCTTAAGTTATTGATGGAAGGATCTGTTGTTAAACGTCAAGCTGCAAATACTCTAAAATGTATGCAGACACTCTCTCGTGTACAGTCTCAAATCCGAGCTAGGAGAATCAGGATGTCCGAAGAGAACCAGGCTCGCCAGAAACAACTCCTTCAGAAACATGCCAAAGAGCTTGCTGCTGGCTTGAAGGTCTTCTTCTTCCTCTCTTAAATCTCAGTTTCTAAGCATTACTATTCATTATGTCACAAAATGATATGCTTAGTTGCTTACTGACACCATTAATCATTTGTCTCTTTTTTTTACTATCTGAAAATGGATTATCTCTGATGAGCTTTGTTGGCTTATGCTATAGTTTCTTTTGATGCTCGCAGAATGGGGATAACTGGGATGATAGCAGTCAGTCAAAGGAAAAAGTTGAAGCGAAATTGCTGAGCAAGTACGAGGCAACGATGAGAAGAGAAAGAGCATTGGCTTATGCATACACTCATCAGGTATTGTTCCACTCAATGTACCCTGACGCTGAATCTGTGGAACTTTATGGTATGTTTGTTTGAATGTTGTGATGAGTCTCATATGTTTATGTTTGCAGCAAAACTGGAAGAACAATTCAAAATCTGGAAACCCTATGTTCATGGATCCGAGCAATCCTACATGGGGTTGGAGCTGGTTAGAGAGATGGATGGCTGGTCGTCCATTAGACAACAGTTCGGAGAAAGAACAAAACAACGACAATGCTGCCTCGGTCAAGAGCGCCACAAAACCTGTAACCCGCAATAACTCAACACAACCAAACACACCATCATCCGCAAGAGGTGGTACTCCAAGAAAAAAAAACAGTTTCTTCTCTCCTCCAACTCCCTCAAGACTAAACCAATCCTCCAGAAAATCTAACGATGAAGACGCCAAAAGCACAACATCAAACCGTAGACACAGCATCTCTGGTTCATCAGTAAGAGATGACGAGAGCCTTGCTGGCTCACAGACTCTCCCGAGCTATATGGTACCAACTAAATCAGCTAGAGCCAGGGTGAAGCCGCAGAGCCCATCACAGCTGGAGACTGAGAGCGATGGATTTGCTGACAAGGCATCGGCTAAGAAACGCCTATCTTATTCGGCTTCACCTGCATTGCCTAAACCAAGAAGGTTTTCAGCTCCTCCTAAGGTGGAGAGTGGCAGCGTTGCCGTGACCAATGGAGTAGGAAGCTGAAGGTATTTTTACTTTTTGATTGTCCTCTTTAATATATTTGTTACTACTTTATGGATCTGTACGAAATGAGTTGTATCATGTTGGTTATGAGTTCCCCCTTGTCAGTTCCTAATTCATTTGTGCAGCAGCGCCTGTCATTTATTTATTTTACTACAAAAGTTTATTATTCGAACAATGGTAAATTCATTTTTTGTTTGTTTGTTTATTTGAATATTGAAGAGATATTATTGGAATCCTCCCTCTTTTATTCTTTGTATGAATTAAAGTCCGAGGTTGTAGTTTTATATGCCACCTTAATGTTAGAAAAAACAAAACAAAAGAGGATGAGAAATTACCTATGACGAATCCTCTGACGGAGAAAGAAGGTATTGACTTTGAGTTAGTTAACCGGCCTGATAAAAAAAAATTGGAAATACTCACGTAAACCGACCTCTTCCCCACGCAAAATAAAATTAAAAAAAAATTAAAGACAAGGAAGGTACTAGACAGATAGATCTTTTTTTGTTCGGTTTTGTTTTTTCTCTTTCCTCTTCAAGAACCCTAAAACCCGTCCCCGCATCTCCGAGCCGATAGAGAGAATCGAAAAATATAATCATTTGCTTAATTCGATTTTATCTGTGTATCTTCTTAGCTCAAATCTACGTGAACGATGGTAAGTTGTTCATCAATCTTATTATCTCTTGTTTCCGTTTAATCTCGAATTCTTTCATCATTATCGCTAGAAGCTCGTGGAAAATCATTTTGGTGATATTGAATCCCTTCTTTTTTCTATATGTTGTCACCTATGTAGTTATAACAGAGAGATTGATCTAAATCTGTGGTTCTGTGAAAGCAATCGAGAATGTTTTGATTCCAACTCCAAGTTGGTTCCTTTTTTTAAAAAAAAAATTGTATCTGAGTGACGTTTTTGGTTTTGTGTTTTGTGTGTGGGGTTATACAAACACAGGCTACGCCGATGGTTGCAGGTGCTGCAGTAGCTGCAGCTGCTATAGCTGGTAGATATGGTATACTCGCTTGGCAAGCCTTCAAGGCCAGGCCAATCGTGCCTAGAATGCGCAAGTTTTATGAAGGTGGTTTCCAAGCTGCCATGACACGCCGTGAAGCTGCTCTCATTCTTGGTGTTAGGTCTGTCCTTAATCCTCCTCCTGCTTCATCTCTTTTTTATTTTGCTTCTCAAATTATAAAATATTGTCTTCCAAATAGCCATTGTTAGGTTAATTATAACACCTTTCTATTTTTTTTGAGTTGTGCTGTGTTTGTGTGGTTTAATTATTGAGATAAATGCAATTGTATATTTGATTCAGTAGTATATGTTTTTTTAGAGTATATTTTTAAATTGGTCTCGTGTGGTGGCTTGACTGAGTTTTGTGGTGTGTTTTTACCAACATAATAATAACAGGGAGAAGGTAGTGGCGGAGAAGGTGAAAGAAGCACACAGGAGAGTGATGGTAGCAAACCACCCTGACGCTGGAGGTAGTCACTATCTCGCTTCTAAGATCAATGAAGCCAAAGATATCATGCTTGGCAAATCCAATAACTCTGGCTCTGCTTTTTGATTCCTCTCATATTGAGTGTTTAATACAAATCACCCCCCGCAAGGAAACTCCACTTTTGTCTCTTGATTTTGAATGTGCTACCCAATTTCTTGTTGTATAATCATTATTATTATCTTCCCAAAGAAGCAGGTATTTGATACATGTAATCAGAAACACGTACTGAATAAAATAAAAAAAAGCTGATTAATTATTGGGTGTATTAGGTTAAATTACACTAAACTCTGTTCTGTTTCTTTTCCAAGCTTAGTAACATCAGAGGAAGAAACCACCATCATTAACATATTCTCATTCATTACAACTTTTATAATGTTTTAAAGAAAAAGATATGATCTAAAAATAGAAAATTCTGTTAAGAGTATGATGGGCCTACCAGTTAATGGGCCAAGTATTTACAATTCGGCTGCGCATCCTTCACATATATAACTAGGGTTAGGGTTTTCAGAGCCGCTTTTAAAAACATAGCACCTCTTTGCTTTTGCTGCGCTTGCTGCTGCTAAGAGCTCTTTGCTGTTGATCATCATCACCTCCATCCATCTAAAATCATGGGGTACGTTTCACCACTTCCTTAGCTTCCTTCGTATTCTGTCTCTGTTAGCTCATTTTGTAGCGTTTCTGTAGAGCTGATCTTTGAGTATAGTAGAATCCATGTGGTAGATGACTGGATATATTTATGCTGTAGATATGAAGGTATCCTATATAATCTCGAACATCAATGTCTTAATTAGTTTTGTTTGCTGCGTAATATATATGAAAATGAAGTTATATGAATAGCGTATTGATGGTTAGACCTCTGCATTTGCTTACTTTGTTGATGTTTCCTCAAATGTTTTTGTTGTTGATGTAAAACAGAAAGACAAGGGGTATGGGAGCTGGGCGCAAGCTCAAAAGGCTTAGGATTAACCAGAGGTGGGCTGACAAACAGTACAAGAAGTCTCATCAGGGTAACGAATGGAAGAAACCTTTTGCTGGTTCTTCCCACGCCAAGGGTATCGTTCTTGAGAAAATGTAAGCCCTATTTAAAACTTATATAATAAGTTTCAGTCTTTATGTTAATATATATGTAGTGGTGTTGATGAATCTGTGTGTGTTTGATCGCTTCAGTGGTATTGAAGCTAAGCAGCCTAACTCTGCTATCCGTAAGTGTGCTAGAGTCCAGCTTATCAAGAATGGAAAGAAGATTGCTGCTTTTGTCCCCAACGATGGTTGCTTGAACTACATTGAGGAAAATGTATAGTCTCAGCCCTCTCTCAACTAAATCCTTAATTAGTTAACTGTCAAAATGTTAAATCATCACCCTTTGTTAAATGTTGTTGCATTGCAGGACGAGGTGTTGATTGCTGGATTTGGACGTAAAGGTCATGCTGTGGGAGATATTCCCGGAGTTAGGTTCAAGGTCGTCAAAGTTTCTGGTGTTTCACTTTTGGCCCTCTTCAAGGAGAAGAAGGAGAAACCAAGATCTTGAATATTTCTTTTGATGAAGCTTTTTCCTTTTTGTAGTTCATTTCCGAAGAACTCTTCTGTTCTATTCTCTACTTTAAGAAACTTTGAGTCTTTGAGTTTAGTTTTGGGCGTTATTTATTATGCTTAATGAACGCTGTCAATCCATAAGATATGTATGACTTACTCTATCTCGTTTCATTACAAGAATGTTAGCAAAATCCCTGAAACACTTTGAATTTGAACTGATGCAGACAAATTTGTTATATCGTAGCTCATACTTCGAAGAAGCTGCCTTTGGCTTTAGAGGAAACATACTTCGAAGGGAAAAAGGTCCTAAAATGTTGTATTTCCGGGAGCTGCTCAAGGCAGTCTTTGCAACCTTATTCACCTCATGAGTTACAGAGTAGTACATCATGAGAGGTGAAGATGCAAGAACATAAACTTCATTCCTGCTTAAGAACAACGAAGCTTGATCAGTACTTCATGTACATATTTGACTTTGATTTTACGCATTCTGAAACATGAATAATATATCCGATGAGTAACCTTATCAACAATTTTTTTAGTGAAGATGCAAGAACATAATCTTCATGAACTTGACGATAAGCTATCCAAGTGAGAGAAGAAGCTGCCTTTAGAACACTCGGCATGGTGGTGGTCTGCATAAGATGCTTCCACGGAAACAAATCTGGTTCAGTCATTGTTTTCTAACTCCACAAACAGAAAACAAGAAACGCACAACATCACTGAGTTCTAACTCCACAAGCAAGCAAACATACAAAACAAAAAACAAATGATACATGAAAACAAGAGAACAAACAAACAAGCAAACACAGGTAACAAGTAAACACACAAACATACAACAAATGATACATGAAAACAAGAGAACATACTAACACAGCAAACAAGCAAAAGATCTGAAGAAAACCACTGAAAATAGGAGGGGGGAAAAATGCTAATTGCCGGATTGATTAGGAACCATAAAGTGTAAAACTGGCAAATAAATTGTAGGATCGATAACCTTCAAAGACAAGACCCTCCGTTCTATTTTGTTTACACCCAAGTGTCTCACTACTCAGTCCATTAATATAGCATCTCCCCCCCCTCAAAACCAAAAGCTTTTGACAAAGAAAAAAAAACATTTTAGAAAGCAGAGAAAGGAAGATTTTGAAAAACAAGTTTCACAGAGAGATGAATTCAGCAAAGAGACTAAAACTACAAACATAGTCTCTGCTCTGTTCCATTGCCACTTATTGTGATTGACTGGCGCAAATGTGGAGCACAACTAGTAAAATGTAAAGAACTATATCTGCTTGCTTACGAACCATATTCTATACCCGTGTAGAGTCAACAACGAAACCAAACTCAGTCGCTTCCCAATCCTGTAATGTAAAAAAAAAACGAATACTTTTAAGCATAACTCAACTCACCCATGAGTCAGAGACATGAAAGTTTTAATGAAGAGGACAAGGAACTCTGTCAAATACCATTCTCAAAGACATCACCAGAATCTGCTTGTTGTTGTAAGCATTGGCTGTACATACACCAAATCATTTACATACACACCAAAATCAGTAACATACAAAATCAACAATCTTTGACATCAAATAAGTTACCTTAGGTGAGGTCAGAAGCGATAAGCAAGGCACTGATTCCCAATGGCTGTAACTCTCTTTTGGGGACAGTTTCACAGAGGTAGAATGTTTCCAGCATTTGGTGTTGACATATGAGGTAGAATGTTTCCAGCTTTGACAAAAGCACCTAATCAAAACAAGCAAACAAGAAAAAACTTAGAAACAAACCAGAAAACAAGCAAATAAACAAGAAAACACACATACTTAAAATCTTTGAAAAACATGAAAATACTTTAGGAGAATTCTTTTAAAGGGCCCGATTTGATTAGTGAAAAATTAACAACACCGTTGATTACAAATAACGATCTCTAACGATCAAATGACTGGATGCACGTTCTATCTGTTTTTAAACACATTGTGAATAATAAACATCGATTTCTATTATCAATCAAGCAATCTAAAAAACTCTCCCCCCAAAAAAAGCTTTAACCCAAAAAAAAAAAAAAATTAAAATCCTTTCATAAAAATATGTGGAAGAAGACTACCTTTTTTCCTGCAGCAAGACGATGACTAAAACCTCAGCCGTGACGGAATCTTGACTCGTCGAGACGGTGGTTTCCGTTTGGAATCAGAATCACGCCGGAAAAGGAGACTAGTAGCCGTTGGATGGGTTGTGAAGAGGATGAATATGGTTTGATTACAGAACCTGAAACAGACAAAAAATTAGTCAATTGAGTTAGAGGGATTACAGAGACGAAACCTTAAAAAAAGATTAAAATTTGAAACTGGAATCGGACAAGCCTAAGAACATACCTCTGACTTGTTCTTGTTATGCCACTCTTCTTACAGACTCTCACTCTTCTTCTTACAGAACCTGAAACAGACAATAAAAATATTAATCATCTTTATTTGAAATAGAGGGATTACAGAGACGGACAAGACTAAGATAAGAACAAACCTCTGACTTGTTCTTGTTATGCCACTCTCTTACAGACTCTTACTCTTGTTATCATCGCCATTAATGCCACTCTCTTACAGACACTCACTCATCTTCTTAGTTTTGGTTTTCTTTATGTTTTTGTCTTGTAATAAGAGAACGAGAGGCTTCTTTCTTATATAGACGAGGATGAGCTAACGGTCATATTTTTGGATGGTCTATTTGTGGGCGTTGGATGATTAGGTTGTAGATCTAACGGTTGTATGGATGTAGCCGTTGGATGATTAGGTTGGTTAAGTTAAATGAATCATGGTTAGGTTAAAGAAGAAGAACCTTGGTTGTGGGATGTAGCCGTTGCCTGATTTGACAGGATCGATGCGGAGGCTAAGTAGGCCGAGATCTTGGGCCTGCAGCCCATTCACTATTACCCACACATATCCAACAACTACCAGCAAATATATAATCATTTATTCAGTTTAAGTTAGATCATAATGCTTTGAAGTCTAGTTTATCTACAACAACCGTGACAGAAATCAAGCAGCATTTTTTTTTTTTTTTTTTTTTTTGACAACATCAAGCAGCATATACTCTTGCTAAGTAAGAAATCTCATGATATGTTATTATTGGTACAACCTTTTAATATTCTCCTTTTTTGGCTTCAAAACTATTTGTACTAATCCATTTACCGTTTAATAAAAAGTGTTACTCAATACATGTGATTTTTACCTATAAAATATCAATCATATCTACAAATTAGCCCATCAAAAAGGTGATAGACAATTAGACATACTCCCTTAGTTTCATAAACATTTTTTCTTGTTACACAAAAATGTCATTTTACAATTTATATCTATTTTAAACTTAATATATATTAATTACAATAAGTGTAATTAGTAGAAAAAAAAATATATTTCAATAATTTTTTCAACTGATATGAAAATGTCATTTCTCCTTTTCTTAATTTATGTGAAGATGACATTATTCATAAACAAAGAGAGTATTAGCTTGCATGCATAGTATAAAAGAGGGGAAAAAAAAAACTACCTCTATGGACTATTGAGCGCCAGACCACATTTTTATCCCGCTTAAAAAAACGACACAGCATACTTTGAAGTGAAGATTGATCATCATGTGTTACAAAAAGGTGACAAAAGAAACATTCACTTGCAAAAAATGTTAGATTTCGAATATGACGGTCGATAAGAGAAATGTCAAATAAAGAACTAGAGAATATAAATAAATTTCACTACAGAGAGAACGTCTTAATAAGAAAAAAGATTATACGAATAAGATTTAACGAAAGAAATAGTCTTGAGTTAAGTGAGTGACAAAAGATATCTCAGAGTTTTTGTTTTGTAAGAAAGTGTAACTCCCAACCTTATACCATTCCTTTCCACTTGTTTTCAGCAGAAAGTTCATGACAGATGTCACGAGTTCCGGTTCAGACAAACTCGCGTCATCCAAATCTTTCGGTTTCCAACATTGACGCGTCTCCAAGCCTTTCCAATACAAGTAGTTGGTAAGACGAGACTCCTGCATGCAGAGGAGGAATATAAAGATAATTATGTTTTCACAACAATACTAGAACTACAAAGAAAAAAAAATGAAAGATTAATAATGATCTACAATGTGTGGGGTTAATGGTCAAATATATTATATACCTCTAGGATGTTGCAGTCAACTGTCGCTACTATGATCTTCTCTAATCTTGGTGAGTTTTGTAGCAGCTTTGCCACACCAGGAATAATAGATTGATAGATAGCCGTTTCAATAGTCAAAGCTTCCACCTTAAACGTCGGAAAAGGAACACCACAGAGGACGGCAAGAGATAATATCTAAACAAATTAAAAAAAAACAACTATGACAAATGCAAAGAGATAAGCATTTCACTTAGTAAAAAAAAAAGAGGTTACCTGAAGACAGAAAGCTCCACACAAAGTAAGTTTCTCCACATTCTGCAACTTATCAAGCGTCTCTAAGATCATCACTTGAAGATTATCAGCTAAACCAGTTTCAGGATCGCCAAAATCATCATACAAGAAACCAAGACGTCTGGAACAGTAGATGTTCACGTTAGCTTCGGTCAAAGAAGAGACATCAACTAACTCACATCGCGTCTCATCACTATGAGTCAACCTCAAAAAACAGATACGCGGAGCCACAATCTCCAAATTTTCCCAACACTCAACATCCAATCTCTTCAACTTCAAACACTTGCTCAGATCAAGACGCTCAAGTTTATCACAACACAATGTCAAACATTCAAGAAGCGGAGAACCAGAGAGAATCTTGTCACATGCCTCGTCAGAAAGCTCACAGCCTCTCAAAGATAATGTCTTCAGCGATGTCCAAGACACGGTGACGTGTCCAGGAATCGTATCGAAAGCACCCGATTCGACACAGAGCTGTTTCAAAGAGGAGCTACTGGTGAAGAAGACCTCAGGAAAACGGTAAGCCATTGCGTAAGAGTGACGGAACTCTAGAGAAAGCTTCTCCGTGTTGCGAGACACGGCGAAATCGATCAACCTGTCAATGTTGTTGGCCTTGGAGGTGCTGATAGAGAGATCAAAGGTCGTGATTTTGGGAGATGAGTAGTATCTAGCTAAGGTTTCGATTACTGAATCAGGGTCGTATCTGTAGCAGTCTAGGTTGAGAGAAGGTGTTTCGGACCATACATGTCTCCATCGTTTGGACAAAACGGAGGTTCTGATTGCGTATTTTGTCGGAATTAGAGAGAAGATGTGTTGGAGGATTGCGTCGGGAAGAGAGCTGATGACATCGACGCCGTCGATTGGATTTCTCGCTCGTTTGATTTTGCGGTGGCTAGGGTTTTCTACGGCGGCTATCTCCGCCATGTTTGTCTTCTTCACAACCGACGATTCATTTGTAGTTGTAGTGGCGGCCGGCGGGTAGTTAGTTAGTGATTCAATTAATGGGCCGAAAAGGTATTATTTTATTGGGCCGAAAACGTATTATTTTATTGGGCCGAAACAATAATCAAACATATTTCTGTTGCAATTTTACTCTGCTTTCATTATAACACACTTTGTAAAGATCGAGTAACATTTAGCTTGAACAAAGATCAAAACATTGCTTCTGAAACTTTTGATACAAAGAGAACACATGTTCTTCGTAGGACTATTGTCCTTTTTAACACACCACTTACAACAAAACATAGATGAGTACTTTTTCCAACAACTCCTACTAACCTCACTTAATAGACGAACATCTACTTGACTATTATACCAACATCTTGACTTTGAGCACACAACTTTGATAACTAGATTTCTTCAGTTTGGTTTGAACGATGTTCTCCATCTAGAGAGTCAACAACGAATCCAAGTTAGTCTCTTCCCAATCATATATTACTTTTAAAGCAAAACTCGAACAATATATCTGATGAGTAACCGTATCAACAATTTTTTTAGTGAACATGCATATAATAAGTTTAGAGGAAGACAAAAGCGTAATGGTTAGCCAAATAGCAAATTGAGTATTGAACATTCAACTGTAGTATAAGATTTAAGACTTAATTAAATATGTAGATGCAAATACATAAGCTGCGTCTGAGCACAATGTTGGATAACGACTGCAGCGGAGATATAAACAGAAAACAAGAATCACGCAACATCACTGATTTCTAACTCCACAAACAAGCAAACACACAAACAAACAACAAATGATACACGAAAACAAGAGAACAAACAAACAAGCAAACACACAAACAAGCAACAGATTTGAAGAAAACCATTGAAAATAGGAGGGGGGGAATGCTAATTTCCGGATTGATTAGGAACCATAAAGTGTAAAACTGGCAAATAAATTGTAGGATCGATAACCGTCAAAGACCCAAGTGTCTCACTACTCTATCCATTAGATATAGCATCTCCCCCTCAAAACCAAAAGCGTTTGACAAAGAAAAAAAAAACATTTTAGAGCAGAGAAAGAAGAAGATTTTGAAAAACAAGTTTCACAGAGAGATGAATTCAGCAAATAGACTAAAATTACAAAACTTGAGCAGACAATAGGCAACTTATTCTAGAGATGCATCTAAACAAATAATCAAAGAACCGAATAGTCTCTGAAATGTAAAAGAACTTATATCTGCTTGCTTACACTGATTCCAAGTAATTTGAGCGAACCATATTCTATACCTTTGGAGGGATAAAACTTAAAGGTGTGACATTGCATCATCCCCAGCTCAGCAAGAAAATGAACCATATTCTCCATCTAGAGAGTCAACAACGAAACCAAACTCAGTCTCTTCCCATTCATACATTGTAAGAAAAATGGATACTTTTAAGCAAAACTCAACTCACCCATGAGTCAGAGACATGGAAGTTCTAATGAAGCGGACAAGGAACACTGTCAAATACCATTCTCCAAGACATCACCAGAATCTGCTTGTTGTTGTAAGCATTGTCTGTCACATACACCAAATCATTTACATACACACCAAAATCAGTAACATACAAGATCATCAACCTCTTTGACATCAAATAAGTTACCTTAGGCGTGGTCAGAAGCGATATAAGCAAGGCGCTGATTCCCAATGGCTGTAAACTCTCTTTTGGGGACAGTTTCACAGAGAGGAACCCATCATTTGATGTTGACATTGAGGTAGAATGTTTCCAGCTATGACAAAAGCACCTAATCAAACAAGCACACAAGAAAAAACTTAGAAACAAACCAGCAAAACAAGCAAATAAACAAGAAACACACACATAGTTAAAATCTTTGTAAAACATGAAAATACTTTAGGAGAATTCTTTTAAACTGCTCTACTGATTAGAAGAAACTTAGTGATCTATGAAACATAACGATCAAATGACTGTCTCTTTTTTAAACACATTGTGAATATACACATCGATTTCTATTATCAATCAAGCAATCCCCAAAAACTCTCCCCGAAAAAAAAAGCTTTACCCCAAAAAAAAAAATCAAATTTAAAATCCTTTCATAAAAATGTGTGGAAGGAGACAGACCTTTTTTTCTGCAGCAAGAAGACGACTAAAACCTCAGCCGTGGCGGAATCTGAACTCGTCGAGAGGTGGTTTCCGTTTGGAATCAGAATCACGCCGGGAAAAGGAGACTAGTAGCCGTTGGATGGGTTGTGGAGAGGTCCTAGATGGTTTGATTACAGAACCTGAAACAGACAAAAAAAAAGTTAATCATCTTTATTTGAAATAGAAGGATTACAGAGACAAAACCCTAAAAAAAAGATTAAAATTTGAAACTGGAATCGGACAAGACTATGAACATACCTCTTACTTGTTCTTGTTATGCCACTCTTCTTCTTACAGAACCTGAAAGAGACAAAAAAAATATTAATCATTTTTATTTGAATAGAGGGATTACAGAGACGAAACCCTAAAAAAAAAGATTAAAACTTGAAATAGGAATCGGACAAGACTAAGAACATACCTCTGACTTGTTCTTGTTACAGACTCTCACTCTTCTTCTTACTCTTGGTTATGCCACTCTCTTCTTACAGACTCTCACTCTTCTTCTTACTCTTTGTTTTGTTTTTGTTTTTGTCTTGTAAGGAGAGAGCGAGCTTCTTCCTTATATAGAAGAGGATGAGCCAACGGTCAGATTTTTGGATTTTCTGTTTGGGGCCGTTGGATGATTAGATTATAGATCTAACGATAGAATGGATTTAGCCGTTGGATGATTAGATTTGGTTGGTTAAGTTAAGCAAATCATGGTTAGGTTAAAGAAGAAGAACCTTGGTTACGAGATGTAGCCGTTGGATGCTTAGGTTGGTTAAGTTAAGGAATCATGGTTAGGTTAAAGAAGAAGAACCTTGGCAGGATCGATGCGGAGGCTAAGTAGGCCGAGAACTTGGGCCTGCAGCCCATTTATTAGTACCCACACATACCCATCAACTACCAACAAATAATAGTATTAATCTATGACTGGAACCACGAATATATATAATCATTTATTCAGTTAAGTTAGATCATAATGCTTAATAACTTGATGGAAAAAAAAAAAATGCTTTATAACTTGAAAAGAATGACATATTTGTAAGTCTAGTTTTTCTACAACAACTACGGTTCATGTCAACCATGAAAAAAAACAATCAGCAGATATTCTTGCAAAGAAATATCATTGATGCAATCTTTAAATGTCAAAACTATTTGTACTAATCCATTTACCGTTTAACAATGCATGAATTTTAGTTGACAAAAAAAGGCCAAATAAGAAAACTATTATATGTAAATAATTCATTACAGAGAGAACGTCTTAATAAGAAAAAAGATGTTATACAATAATAAGATTCAATGACAAAATGATAGTCTTGAGTTAAGTCCGTGACAAAAGATAGAGTTTTTGTTTTGTGAGAAAGTGAAACTCCCAACCTTATCGTCTCCACTTGTTGTATTCAGTAGAAATTTCATGACAGAAGTCATTAGTTTCGGCTCAGAGAAACTCGGGTCATCCAAATGTTTTGGTTTCCAACATTGATTCGTATACAAATATTTCGAATACAAGTAGTTGACAAGACGACGCTCCTGAATATAAAAGATAACGTTTTTCATAATACACACAAAATAGAGATTGATAAATGGTACACTCTACTGTATGGTTAAATATACACTACCTTTATGGTATTGTTGCAGTCAACTATGTCTAGTTTGATCGTCTTTAACCTTGGTGAGTTTTGAAGCAGCTTTGCTACACCAGGAATAATAGATTGATAGATAGCCGTTTCAATAGTCAAAGCTTCCAACTTCTTGAACATCGGAAAAGGAGCACCACCGAGAACGGCAAGAGATAATATCTATAAACAAATACAAAACATGAAAAATGCAAATAGTAAGCGTTTCACTTAGTAAAAAAAAAAGATAGATATTACCTGAAGACAGAAAGCCTCAGATAAAGTAAGTTTCTCAACATTCTGCAACTTGTCAAGCGTATCTAGTATCATTATTTGAAACGAATCAGCTAAACCAGTTTCAGGATCTCCAAACTCGTCAAACACGAAACCATGACGTCTGTGACCGTACATGTTCACTTCAGCTTCGGTTAAAGAAGAGACATCCACTAAGTCACATTGTGACTCTTCACTATGAGACAACTTCAAAAAACGGAGATGCGGAGCCACAATCTTTATTGGCTCGTCCAACCCTTCTATCTCCAATCTCTTTAACTTCAAAGATTTGCTAAGATCAAGACGCGCAAGTTTCTCACAAGACAACAATGTCAAGGATTCAAGAAGTGGAGCCCCAGACAAGATCTTAGCACAAGTCTCATCGGGAAGCAAACAGAACCTCAAATATAGTGTCTTTAAAGATGTCCAAGATACGGTGTTTCCAGTAATCGCATTAATAGCATATGAATCTTCGATAAAGAGCTGTTTTAAAGAGCAACTGTTGAAGAAGACCTCAGGAAAAAGATGAATTATAATATTAGGAGAGAATCTCAGAGAAAGGTTCTCGGTGTTGCGAGACATTGCGAGCTCGAGCAAGCTTTTGATCTGTATAACGCTGGGGCTGATAGTGAGATGAAAACTCGTGATTTTGGGAGATGTGTAGTATCTACTTAACGTTTCGATTACTGAATCAGGGTCGTATCTATCGCAATCGAGGTTGAGAGAAGGTGTTTCGTACCACACATGTTTCCATCGTTTGGACAAAACAGAGGTTCTGATTGCGTATTTTGTCGGAATTAGAGAGAAGATGTGTTGGAGTATCGCGTCGGGGAGGGAGCTGATGAAATCTACACCGTTCATTGAGTCTCTCGCTCGTTTGATTTCGCGGTGGCTAGGGTTTTTTGCGGTGGTTGTGACGCCGTCTCTCTCTCGGTCCGACATGATGGTGTCTTAACAAGTCAACAACCATCGATTCATCTACAGTATGTTGTTTCTTTTATTGTGGCGGGTAATGATACAACTAATGGGCCACAAACCTATTATTATATTAATGGGCCGACATAATATTAAACAGAACATATGTTCTCTTTGCCGCCATAATAAGGACTTTTTTAACAGTGATTTGTGGGTTACTTGTGAATGATGTTATTATTGATTGCTTTATTAATGCAACTAGGTGTTGTGCCCGCATATGCGGATATAATTTTCTTACAAATATTTATTACTTTTTGTTTTATTAATTCTAAAATAATATTATAAGTTATTTTCTATAGTTTTAAAAAACCTAAATCAAACATTAAAAAAAATTTAAATGATTTTTCATCAAAATCAATATGCTTATTATCATGTTGAAAAACATCCACATAATAAAATACATTTTAAAAATATATTTCTATTCTTTCTTAATATTTAATTTTAAATTTTTTTATAACTTACATTTTTATTTTTCACAATTAAAAATATTATTTTCAGATAACTGTATAATATTCTATAAGATATCTTATGTTTTAAATATGCATGAATGTGGGTAATTATCCTATTAATTTATAATAAATTAACTAATATAATAACATATAAATTTATATCACTAACATAAAATTTGGTTTTAACTAATTTATATATAAATATATAAATTTCATTAAAGGTATCATTAACTTGAACCATTCCAATTTTTTTATACCTAATATTTAATTATATAATTAAAAGTATCTTTATACAAATGTTTTTGTTTGATTAATATTTAATTAAAATCGATTTTATATTTTAATTGTTAAATTTTATAATACAATGATATTATTTTTAAAAGCCAAAATAAATTTTATATAAAATTAAGATCTATAAGCATTATCATGTTGTTACAATATTATATTTAGATAATAATAACATATATAAGAATTATCTTTTTTATAAACTTATTATATTAATTATTTTTTATTATATAAGATAATAACATACTGTACTTATATAATTTTATTTTTAAAATTTCGTTTTTAATTATAAAATTAGTTATATAAAAAATTTCATTAAGGTTAAAATAGATATTAGCCACTTTAACTTTTAATGTGGGAGATCCGTTGCGGAAAATCACTTCGCAAACAATAGTAACTTCGCAAATAATAGTATAGATAGATTGGTGTATTATCTTTTACGTGTTCATCTTTTAAAACCATAACTATCTTGCATTTGTTTTGTAAACCTTTTTAGTGTAAGATAAGGCTTCAGTTATTTTTTTTTTGGATTAATTTGCTGAAGTGCAGAAAGGCTAATGAGAATTATTTGATTAATATACAATAATATTAGAACCTTTGAGGTAAATTATTTTTAATTGTTTTTCTACCTTTTGTACAAAATCCTAAAAAATAAAGGAAAAATTTAAGAAGAAGAGCATCCTCTTGTTTTCTTCCGACAGTGCACTCTTCTCCTCCTCTCACCTCCTACTGCTTCTAACTAATTATTCTAACGAGATGTTAATTTACGATAGATGGAAGGAACCTTGGCCTTCAGTTATAGCATAAATTAACTTCTCCTTCATCTTTTCCTGCAAAACACACACAGACAAGAACAGAACGACAACACAGTGAGATAGTTCCTGAGAATGGCGTTTGTCCACTGTGAGTAAGAAAAAGAGTGGTTAACAAAATATGAAGAGAGATATTACTTTGGAAGTATAAGGTGGAAGCTTTAGATAATTGGCGCATGTCATCACACTCGGCAGATCAGTTTCTGAAGAATCGCTACCATGCTGTTAAGCACAACAAATGAAACAACAGAAGGCTGATGAGTAAAGAGAGAGAGAGAAAACATATGACGTGAAGAAATAGAGAAGCTTTGCGTCAAAAGTGGACCTTGCGGACAATTGTAAGTTTGGGATTGAGAGACGCCAAGCCCCCAGGAGGTAGACGAGGACATCCTGTTACAAATTGCAGAAAGGCTCGCCGTTGCTCCTTGTCAAACTCATTCAGAATCTCCAACAACTAGGAGGAATACAAAAACAATTGAACCATTGTGAAACCAATAAAATAAGACCAAGAAAGAAAAGCAGGTGGTTTGAGTTTAAAAGGAACAAAAAACCAACTTTTTCAACTGGTGGGCTGCTAGAAGTATATCCATGATCAAACTTGATGTGATCCAAGACTTCATTCATCTGCAAAAAGAAGGACTTAGCTTCCCAGTTGAAGAAAACGGTAAATCCAAAACAGTAGAACCTGAAAGTTTACTTACATTAAAGAGATCTCGTTCTCCACACAGGAGAGTTTCCAGTTCTTCTTCATTGAATATCCCAAGATGTTTAATAGGAAAAACCTGAAAACATGTATAACAAAAGGGATGATTCAAGAAACCTTAAAAACCTATAGAGAAAAAAAAAAGTAAGCTAAAGAGAAGGGTACGTACTTGGTTAAATCCAGACCGAAATGCTTCCACTTGTTTTTGGATCCCGTTACATACGGTTGCGTGGACAATAGCCTTGATATATTCCTCGAGGTTATCCAAATTTACCTACCAGGAGAAGCAGGGATATTAATCCACAATGTAATTGTACGGAGAACTTATGAAAGAGACACCGTCACAAAACCGAAATTATTAACGTACCATATCATTAGCAGAATGGGGAGCGAGAACATAATCCGTGTAGCCAGGCAGGGTAAATTCAAGACAAAGGTCCTCTATATTTGTTCCACGGAAACTTAAGTCACACTTGGCTGCTCGGGCATCACTTTGTGTTTCTGAGATAACTTTTCTCTGACGTGCCAGAGCTTGCAATTCCACCAGTGTTTTACAAAGTTCAGGGTCAATGAAGTGGATGTCAAATGAACTCAACTCCTACAAGAATTAAACTTACTCCGTGAGATATTTTTACAAAAAAAAAGATTGGGTATGTAAGATGAGATGCTTGAAGAAGCCAATTTTACCTGTCCGAGAATCAGTTTATAGAAGGCTTTGGAGAAAGGAATGTCTAAGACTCTTCCATCATGTAAAGCCTTTGCGACCACTGTCCCTAAGAGGACAAATTTCTGCAGCACATTTGGGAAAGCAGCTGATGCATCTGACCAAGGTCGGGGAAAGAGTCCTGAAGGAGCCACCAAAAATCCTGAGACTTCCTTTGGTTTTCCAGCGAATGAACTACGATCGCTCCTCCACATGCCAAGATCGGGATTTTGAAACGCTCTACTGACAAGTGTATAGAACTCCAGCGTTGGCCCAAGTCCAGTTCCCACTTCTTCACTGTACTCAACCTCAATGACCACCTTCTGGTTGCCGTGTAACTCCATCATTTTTGCTGCAGACTCTAAAATGTTTTCACGGCAAGCTAAGAACTTTTTACGAGGTAAACTACCAGTTGCTGGGCGCCCTTCACCATGGACATTTGAACTGCTGCTAAGGTGTTGAGGATGCTGATGGACTTTCTGCGAACCGAATGCTGCAAGCCGGAAGTATTTGGATTTGACTTCAAAACTAAACAAGAATGGGCATGAATCCATTAGATCATTAAACCACGGTGGTAGACCGCAGGTTGACAAAGCAAAGGAATCACGCAGCTGCTGCTCTAACTTCTCTGTAAGCTTACTACTAACAAATTCAGCATACGGCACAGGACGAACCTGCACCCTCAGATCATCCAAATTCTCCAGCCTACCTTCCCCAAAAGCATTAATCCGTTCATGACAAATCAGGTGAAAGAGAAATCTGTTCATGCCCTCCAGACTCTTAAGCAGAAACAATATGTCAAACGCACGGGGATTTGTCCTTTTGTGGCTCAAGCCAAGTCTACGAGCAAACAAGTAGGATAAAAACGGGTGATTCTCGTCATTGTCCATAATAGATCCGAGAGGAGTCAGATCGTTACAAGAATCTGTAAGTTGTGGAGCTCTTTCATAAGTGATGGTTTGAGGTCCACTCAGTTTGGAATCGTTGGTGGTTTCACTTGCTGATTTTAGTTTGTGCAAGAGAATTGCCTGGTATACAGTCAAAGAGCGGTCTAGTTCAAGCCCTTCTAGACGAAACAAAAGTCTAGGCAACGCATCCTCCTCTTCAGATGGGGAAGTATCCTCTTCCGATGAGGAAGTATTCTCTCCCCCTGAATCTGGAAGCTGCTCTTGGTCTTCCTCTTGAGATCCCTTGACATACAAAAAATTCCAAAGACGCAAAAGATAAATAAAAATAGTATAGTAACAAACAGAAGAAGCTTGGAGAGAAGGACATGCACTAAGTAAGTCAACTTCTTCTCAAGCAAATCAACAATCGAAACGTTACCTAGTGCTCATCTTGAATTCAAAATATTGCTACTTGTGGAAGTCATGAAAGCGTAACTAACGTTTATGATGCAAAAGTAGAAAAATCAAAGCCTTTTACTTTTACCATTAGGAATTTCAGGTGGAAGGCAGAGAATTTTGTTCTAAACAAATTGCTTCCTCTAAACTCATATTCGAAACTTTTGAATCCCTCCTAATCAAAGCAAAGCTTGAAGATAAAAGGAAGGTTGCAGAGAAATTACCTGCAACTGAGATGCAATAGGACTGTCAATCTCCATATGGCTTGAGCTTTCACCTTGACAAGATATCGAAGTTGACCGCAGCTGAGAAGAGTGACATTCCATAGCTTGATCTTTTGCTTCAACGGATTCTACTGGTTTTAAATGCACTTTAGGCCACATGTATTGATCCACAGCATCCCAGTAGCAAAGTGGGTCAACGGTGACCAAGTCTTGGGAATAATCACGCAAACAAGTCTCCCCCTCTGCTTTGACAAAACGAACTCTTAGGATTGGGTAACTTGTGCTACATCCGTTCGGAATAGTCGCGTGAGAGTTCCTTTGCTTCAAAAATTGGCTTAGGACAATTGGGTAGTTTTCTAAAGAAGATAAGGAATTGTGGAGCTTCTTTATTAATACGGATGAAGTCGCCCCGCCATCAGACCAAAGTAATCTTGTGAACGCTTCAAAT